AGGCCCATTTCTCTCATTAATATCGACATGAAAATACTTACAAAAATCTTAAAAAACAGACTAAAAACCCAGGTCGGTTTTGTTCCATGATGACAAGCAGGGGACGCCAACTGTAGGGTTTTGTATTTACAACATTTAGCCCTTAACCGCTCTGCGGAATTGATCTACCTGTCTCTGAACATTAATAAAGCATTCAACACTTTGTCTTGGCCCTACCTTACGATGGTACTTCGCCATTATGAGTTTAGCCCAAATTTCCTTTGTTGGATAACAGCTCTATATGACCCCCCCTCAGGCCAAACTTAAATAATATGGTTTTGAATCGTCTGTTTTTCCTATACACAGAAGCACCCGCCAAGGATGTCCACTGTCTCCACTTTTGTTTATTTTGGCATTGGAAACCCTGGCTGAAGTGATTTGGGCCCACCCAGACATCAAAGGAATCTCAGTAGCAGGCACTTCCCATAAACTATCCTTATATGCTGATGAGATACTTATAACCCTGACCTCACACAGAATTTCTGTGCCGAACTTATTCTCTGTTCTGGACAGTTTGCATTGCTTTCCTGTCTTTGTGTTAATACTCCCTAGTTCAGGGCTATGTCTCTCAATCTTTCATCTTCTGAACGGGATCCTTCCCCTTTCAATGCTCCACTGCCTTACCATACTTAGGTGTTCGGCTTACTCCATCCTATGAAGGACTCTACCAGGCTAATTACATAGTTAGTCTGGCTGAAAAAAGGCAAACGTCCATCCAGTTCAACCATTAAAAAAAAAGTTACAATCCTATACCCACAGTTGATCCAGAGGAAGACAAAAAAACCCAGCAAAAGCATGATCCAATTTACTCCTGCAGGGGAAAAAATTCCTTTTTGATCCCTGGATATTCCCTGGATCAACGTTACCTATAAATGTTAGTAACCAGTTATATTCTGTGTATCCAAGAAAGAATCAAGGTCTTTTTTTAAAGCAATCCACTGAGCTAGCCAGAACCAGCTCTTGAGAGAGTCTATTCCACATTTTCACAGCTCTTACTGTGAAGAAATCTTTCCATATTTGGAGATTAAATTTCTTTTCCTCCAGACGTAAAGAGTGCCCCCTTGTCCTCTGTGATGACCTCAGGGTGAATAACTCTACACCGAATTCACTATATGAACCACTGATGTATTTATACATGTTGATCATATCCCCCCTTAATCTCCTCTGCTCAAGAGAGAATTAATTCAGTTCCTCTAATCTTTCCTCATAGCTGAGCTCCTCCTTGCCTCTTATTAATTTGGTTGCCCTTCTCTGTACTTTCTCCATTTCCCCAAAGTTCTTTTTGTGAATTGGTGCCCAGAATTGAACTGCATATTCCAGATGAGGTATTACTAATGATTTGTACAGGGGTAAAATGATATCTCTCTCTCTGGAGTCTATACCTCTTTTAATACAAGAGAGGATTTTGCTCGCTTTAGAAACCGCAGCTTGGTATTGCATGACATTATTAAGCTTGTGATCTACCAGAATTCCCAGATCCTTCACCACCGATTCCCCCAATTGTACCCCCCTAGTATGTATGATGCATGCATATTCTTAGCCCCCAAGTGCATTACCTTACATTTATTAACATTAAACCTCATTTGCCACATAGTTGACCAATTAAACAACGCGCTGAGGTTGGCTTATAAATTGGAGACATCCTGTAAGGACGTTATTCCACTGCAAAGCTTGGTGTCATCTGCAAAGACTGAAATGGTATTTTTAATCCCAGACCCTATATCGTTTATAAATGTATTAAAAAGTAAGGTCCCAACACTGAACCTTGGGGTACACCACTAACAACCCTAGACCATTCAGAGTATGAATCATTAACCACTACTCTCTGAATACGATCTTTTAGCCAGTTTTCTAACCATTTACATACAGATTTTTCCAAGCCTGTAGACTTTACCTTATGCATTAGTCGTATATGGGGAACTGTGTCAAACACTTTTGCAAAATCCAAGTATACCACGTCCACAGCCACCCCTCTGTCCAAGGTTTTGCTCACCTCCTCATAAAAAGAAATCAGATTTGTTTGACAACTTCTGTCATTCATGAATCCATGCTGTCTGTTGTTTAACCCCTTCATGCCTAAGGGTAAAACAAATCTTAAAGCCTAAGTAAAATTTTACAACTTTGAGATGTGTTAGTAAAACCGTACATATCATCACACCTACTTTGTACATCAAGGTGAATTATACCTTGTTTTTTTCAGGACAAATTGGCTTTTCATTTGGTGGTAAATGGTAATAAATATCTCCTGATTTGTTTTTTTTTTATTATCAAAGGAAAACTGGCCCAAAATAGTAAAAAAAAAAAAAATGTTTTTTTAAATTGAGCTGTTTCTTGTTACTACCATAACCGACCACCAAAGGACAACCCCAAAATTTTTTTTCCAGCTCTTGACAATTGCAGTAATGCCATATATGTGTATGTTATTTGTTGTTTGTACCTGTACTACAGCCCAGAACCAATAGTGAGCATTTTGGTTTTTTTTACTAAAAACACACTGACACTTGACACTAACTGACACTGATACCAATTAAAAAAAATATCCTGGCCTTTGACCCTGACCTTCGACCCTGATCTTGACCTAAACACTAACCCTGGCAATGAACTGGATAAAACCTTGATCTAGGTACCGTATTTTCCGGCGTATAAGATGACTGGGCGTATAAGACGACCCCCTACTTTTCCTGTTAAAATATAGGGCTTGAGCTATACTCACCGTATAACACTACCCCTCTTCCAACGCACACCAAATAAAAAAAAATCAGATTTGATTTCAATATGGTATGCTATTCCAATGATGGGGTGCTATTCCTCCCACTGACACCAATGATGGGGCAGGATTCCTCCCACTGATACCAATGATGATGCACTACTCCTCCCACTGACACCAATGATGGGGCTCTATTTCATCCACTGACACCAATGATGGGACACTATTCCTCCCACTGACACCAATGATGGTGCCTCATCATTAGTGTCAGTGTGTGAGGAATAGTGTCCCATCATTAGTGTCAGTGGGAGGAATAGTGCCCCATCATTAGTCAGTGGGAGGAATAGTGCCCCATCATTGGTGTCAGTGAGAAGAATCGTGCCCCATCATTGGTGTCAGTGGGAGGAATAGTGTCCCATCATTAGTGTCAGTGGGAGGAATAAGACGACCCCCCTACTTTTCCTGTTAAAATATAGGGCTTGAGCTATACTCACCGTATAACACTACCCCTCTTCCAACGCACACCAAATAAAAAAAAAATCAGATTTGATTTCAATATGGTATGCTATTCCAATGATGGGGTGCTATTCCTCCCACTGACACCAATGATGGGGCAGGATTCCTCCCACTGATACCAATGATGATGCACTACTCCTCCCACTGACACCAATGATGGGGCTCTATTTCATCCACTGACACCAATGATGGGACACTATTCCTCCCACTGACACCAATGATGGTGCCTCATCATTAGTGTCAGTGTGTGAGGAATAGTGTCCCATCATTAGTGTCAGTGGGAGGAATAGTGCCCCATCATTAGTCAGTGGGAGGAATAGTGCCCCATCATTGGTGTCAGTGAGAAGAATCGTGCCCCATCATTGGTGTCAGTGGGAGGAATAGTGTCCCATCATTAGTGTCAGTGGGAGGAATAGTGCTCCATCATTGGTGTCAGTGGGAGGAATAGCACCCCATCATTGGTGTCAGTGGGAGGAATAGCGCCCCATCATTGGTGTCAGTGGGAGGAATAGCGCCCCATCATTGGTATCAGTGGGAGGAATAGCGCCCCATCATTGGTGTCAGTGGGAGGAATAGCACCCCATCATTGGTGTCAGTGGGAGGAATAGTGCCCCATCATTGGTGTCAGTGGGAGGAATAGTGCCCCACCATTGGTATGAGGAGGCGGAGCCGAGCGGGCCGCACGACCATCGAGCGGCCGAACTGAAAGAAGGAGCAGCCGCGCTTCCTGGACCTGATCGTCGTGGGACCGGGACCGGAGCCAGGTAAGGTACAGCAGCCCCTCTGCCCACCCCTGTACTTAGTGTCCCTTGGAGGAGGAGGGGGGGCGGTGCCGCGCCACCCCGCCCCTCGAAAAAAGTGCCGCCCTGACACCGGCTCGCCGTATACCGGCGTATAAGACAACCCCCGACTTTTCAGAAGATTTTCATGGGTTGAAAAGTCATCTTATACGCCGGAAAATACGGTATTTTTTTCTTTATTTTTTATTTTATTTTTTAATATTTATTTAGCATCTGGAGCTGTGTCAATACCATGCCCATTATGGACAAGAGCTCCCCCAAGCTCCTTTGTATACACAGAGCTGAAGAAGGGATTTAATAAATTTGCCTTCTCTTTGTCCCCAGTCACCCACTCCAGATTATTTTGTAAAGGGCCTACATGCTTGGACCTGTCCATTTTACCATTAATTTACTATTAATATATTTGAAGAATTTTTTTGGGGGGGGGGTTGTCCTGCTATCTTTTGCAATCTGTCATTCGTTTTCAAAAAGGGTGGAAAATGTCAGTGCGTCTAATGGAGCGAATATGGAGCGGCTGGTACGGTATTTCCGCCACCGTGTCAGCCGTCCGCTCAGCTCTCTTCTTCTCTGCCGCAGGACCTTACCTGTTCCTCGGTCCAGCGCTGTACAGTCTTCCCGCGCTAGCATCTGTGACATCCGGGTGCCAACTGCACATGCGCGAGAAGCGCTGCGCTTTGTGAATGGTCCGGCGTCTTCTGGGACACATGACACATGACAGGTCCCAGAAGACGCCGGGCCATTCACAAAGCGCAGCGCTTCTCGTGCATGCGCACTGGGCACCCGGCTGTCACACCCGGGTGCCCACACTAAAGGGAGGACAAAGGGAGTACCTGTCAAATTCAGGTACCCACTCCCCCACCCTCCCCAAGGTCCGCAGTCTCTTGATCATCCCCTGTACTGTCTGCAGTCTCTGGTCATCTCCTGTACTGTCTGAAGTCTCTTGGTCATCCCCTGTACTGTGTCCGCAGTCTCTTGGTCATCCCCTGTACTGTCTGCAGTCTCTTGGTCATCTGTACTGTGGCAGCAGTCTCTGGTCATCCCCTGTACTATGTCCGCAGTCTCTGGTCATCTCCTGTACTATGTCCGCAGTCTCTGGTCATCTCCTGTACTATGTCCATAGTCTCTGGTCATCCCCTGTACTATGTCTGCAGTCTCTGGTCATCTCCTGTACTGTCTGCAGTCTCTGGTCATCCCCTGTACTGTGTCTACAATCTCTGGTCATTCCCTGTACTATGTCCGCAGTCTCTGGTCATCTGTACTATGTCCACAGTCTCTGGTCATCTCCTGTACTGTGTCCGCAGTCTCTGGTCATCTCCTGTACTGTGTCCACAGTCTATGGTCATCTCCTGTACTATGTCTGCAGTCTCTGGCCATCCTCTGTACTGTGTCCGCAGTCTCTGGTCATCTCCTGTACTGTGTCTGCAGTCTCTGGTCATTTCCTGTACTATGTCTTCAGTCCATTGGGTCAGAATATTTTTTTTCTTGTTTTTCTCCTCTAAAACCTAGGCGCGTCTTATGGTCAGGTGCGTCTTATGGAGCGAAAAATACGGTAATGCAGGCCATAGACGGGGAAAAAAACGGACGATTTTTCTTTAAAAAAACGAAAAATCGGTCGTTCAAGCGGCCGACGTTACCAGCAATGGTAAAAAAAATCGGCCGATTTTCATCCCCGTCTACAGCCGGCAAAAAGTATCCCTGCAGAGAGCTCTGCTATTTCTTTGACAATTCTTTGACATTTATAGCGGTTGCAACAATGTATCTATTTGTATCCATTTAGGATACAGATGTTTTTATTCGGAAACAAAGAGATACAATGTTGCAACCCTGTAAATGTCAAGGAACTGTCAAAGAACTGTCAAAGAAATAGCGGAGCTCTCTGCAGGGACACTTTTTGCCGTACTGGAATTCCTCTTATTTTTCATCTTCTTTCTTCTTCTTCTTCATCATCATCATCATCATCCTCTTCTTCTTCTTCTTCATCATCATCCTCTTCTTCATCATCATCATCATCTTCTTCATCATCATCCTCTTCTTCTTCTTCTTCTTCATCATCATCATCCTCTTCTTCTTCTTCATCCTCCTCCTCTTCTTCATCATCATCATCTTCTTCTTCATCATCATCATCTTCTTCTTCATCTCATCTCATCTTCTTCATCATCATCATCATCCTCATCTTCTTCTTCTTCTTCCTCTTCTTCTTCTTCTTCTTCTTCATCATCATCCTCTTCTTCTTCATCATCATCATCTCTCTTCTTCTTCTTCTTCATCCTCTTCTTCTTTTTCTTCTTTTTGTCTTCCTCTTGCAGGTCACTGCTCATGCAGGGACACTTTTTGCTGTACTGGAATTCCTCTTATTTTTCATCCTTCTTCTTCCTCTTCTTCTTCTTCATCATCATCATCCTCTTCTTCTTCTTTTCTTCATCATCATCCTCCTTCTTCTTCATCATCATCATCCTCTTCTTCTTCTTCTTCTTCTTCATCATCATCATCCTCTTCTTCTTCCTCTTCTTCTTTCATCCTCATCCTCATCTTCTTCTTCATTTTCCTCTTCTTCATCATCATCCTCTTCTTCTTCTACTTCTTCATCATCATCATCCTCTTCTTCTTCTTCTTCTTCTTCATCATTATCCTCATCATCATCCTCTTCTTCTTCTTCCTCTTCTTCTTCATCCTCTTCTTCTTCCTCCTCTTCTTCTTTTTCTTCTTTTTGTCTTCCTCTTGGAGGTCACTGCTCATGCGCAGATTTTTTATCGGTAAAAAATCGGCCGATTTGCCCATCATTGCCACGAAAATCGGCCGATTGGCAAAATTGGCAGATTTTTTCCCAACTTTACCGATAAAAAAATCTGCCAAAATACTGAAAAAACGGCCAAACAAATAGCCCACTAACGATCCGAAAATCGGCCGATTTTATTTTCGGCCAAAAAATCGGCCGATTTTCGACCCATCTATGGCCTGCATAAGTCTTGGAGAGCAGCTCTCAGCCTTGGAATATTAGCTCTTACAGCTGAGCATATTTATTCTTCCCGTATGTGCTTGATGTTTACAACTAACAATAAATGGAATCATGTTATGGTCACTGCTACCCAGATGTTTTTTTATATGGACATTTGTAATAAGCTCTGCATAGTTTGAGATTACCAGGTCCAGCAAAGCATCATTCTTGGGCCTCTATGAACTGTACCATAAAATTATCCTGTAGTAGGTTTATACATTTTTTGCCCTTTAACTGTTCCTGTAGTACCATTACTCCAGTCAATTTCCGGGTAGTTAAAATCCCCCATTATTATCACTGTCCCAGCCCTTGTAGCCTTTTAGTCTTATTGATCTGTGCCCTTCTCTGTTTAAAACCCTGACTGAGCTGTTGTCCTCGTGGTCTCATTTTCCACCAGCTGGTTTGTCAGGATAACTACCATCTGCATGTCTTACTTAACGAAATTGCTGTATGTTTTTCAAGCCCTACCAGTTTCAGCCCCCCCCCCCCCCACATCTTATGCATCCACCAGCGTAAATTATTGAAATTCTTTTGGGGATCTTCCAGACCTAGAATCAACATGCAGGTTCTGTTTGCCCGTAAAATTAATGATGGTCTCTCAGTTTCTGTACCTTCAGGCCACCATAGATCTAGTGGATTCACACCCCATAACTTTATTCTCCTTACCCTGGCTTCCAGCACAGCACCGCCCCCTTTGAAAGTTATGTAGGGCACGACCTCATACTCCAGGCCTTATTTCATTGATTTAATCCTCAATAATAACGTCTAAAAAATCCCCACTAAGACCATTTCACCAACAATTGGAATGCGACTTGGGGAAGTAGATTGATCGAGAGGCCTGACAAATAATGACATTAGAAATATCTAAAAAATTTGCTTATACTGGAAAACTCTTATAGGCTCTTATACAGATGGTATTACACCCTGGGTAGGCTGAAACGCTTTATTCCTGCCTACTCTCTGAGCTGTCCACAGTCAGGCACAATGACTCACATCGGGTTGTCCTGCCCGAGGCTATGTAGACTTTAGGTCAGGTTTTATGCGTTACTTTGCACACTGTTACACACAGATCTTAAGAGGAACCCTTATGAAGCCCTTCTCTGTAAACGATTGTGGAATTGCTTCGCCCTGAATGACAACTAGTGGCGAACCTTTTCACAGCTACCAAACTGACCATAGCTAAAGCATGGAAAACCCCGACCTTCAGCTGTTAAAAACTGCATGAATGAAGTTATGATGAATTAATACTTAACAGCCATATTATCAGATACTCATGAGAAAATTCTTTGAGTCTGCCAACCCTATATAACTCATGCTCAGCCATCTTGATTTTACAACACTCTTTTGTTGATATAACAATCTTCCTCTGCCTACACTTTCTTTTCTTTAGCCTTTTCTAGCTTTTTGTTCTTGCTCTCCACCCGCTTTCTTGCTTGTGATCAGTCAATGTAGCGACCTGGTGGCTGGACTGATGCCTAGCCCTGACGGTTACAACGTACTGTATGTAACTTCTGATCTCATAACTGGTTTGAATCGTGTCACACGATAGTCGACAATTTATGTACATGCACCATTTGCTGCGTACTTTGAGCACATTTATATTTTTACTAACTATGCTTTGTTATGCATGACTCCCGTATTGTATGGTTGAGTATACCAGTTGTGATATTCATCTTTGTATCACTTTCATGTTGAATGTAACTGTTATATTGTTGGCTCTGTCTGTCTGACTGAATATTGACAATAAAAATCCTTTGTAAAGAAAATAAAAATATCACAAATGTATCTACACCTCCATGCCAGTATACACACAAGGGATGTGCCTCAACAGGTCAGGTTTCTGTCCAGATGTAAACATAAACAAAGATAGCTATAACTAAGGCTTTGGTTAGCATTCTGCTGGGTTTGTTTGGATGTCTCAGATCACTTATCTTTCACCAAATAAAGTAAAGGGTTGTTATTGGACATCTCTCTCTCCAACATTGAATATACATAAATCCCTTACATAACATGCCTGGGGAATACTTTAAAGCTATAAATGGTGTTATAAAACAGTACAATATCCACAGGCAGTCTCAGGGACAGCATACACTGGCTCTGGCAATTGATATTTTTTTCTTTTACAATTAGCTGGGCTTACATACAGCAGCAGTATTCCATTCTGATTAATTTCAGTTTGAAAAAAATACATTTTTTAATGGTAGCTTTAGCAGCAACACATACTTTTTCACAAGTGGTTAATAGACCTGCTTTGACCAGTGGCAAGAAACTGTCCAGGAATTTGCTGAGGGTGTCCCTATTCTCACTTAATATAAAAACTATCCTGCCACTGGCCAACTTCTATCTACTTTTACTAATACTTCTACTTATTCTACATCTATCAACTTTTTACTATTTTCAGTGAAGAATCGACCAGAGTAAACTAGAGAAAAATAATACATTCAGGACTTTTACTACATGAATTAAGAGACAATATATGATACAGCAATCTAAATCTGGCTAGCAGCAGGACAATTTCATAAAGCAAGACTAGAACTAAACTTACTAGAGACAAAGATCACAGGCTGGGACTTTACTACAAGAATTAAGATACCAGAAAGGATACACCAGTGTAAAAATGGCCAAAAGCAAGCCTATAATCAGGGATAATGGCCAAAATGTAGTGGAGACAAGCAGGCAAGTAATTTACTATAGGAATTAAGAGACAGCAAATAAAGTTGTGTAAAACTGGCCAGTAGCAAGATACATTTATAAGCAAAGCTAGGCCAAAACTTGCTAGAGACAAAAAACAAAGGCTGGGGTTTTATTACAAGAATTAAAATATTCCAGAAGATACAACAGTGTTAATTATCCAGCAGCAGAATGCTTTTAAGTAAGGATAGTCAGCCTAACTGGTGTATGCCTAGCCTTTATTTTATACATTGGCATGTGGATGGGAGATGTGCGGTAAATGTGACTGATATAATTTGAGGTGGGGTAGGTTTCCTTTCAAATTATATAAATATATACTGCCAGAACCACAAAGAAAGTCATCAGCATCCCTGCAACTTTAAACAAAAAAATACACTAGAAATGGGACTTTATAGGTGCCTAAACAAATATACAGCACATATTATGAAATACACTGCTATTAAAATTATACAAATTTATTCACAAAGTATTAAAGGTAAAATGCATTAGTGCCAAGCATGGCCTATTTACAGATCCCCAGTGTATTGACATTAAAAAATACTTGTTTCACAGTATAACATTAGCTGTCCCACCCTACTCTGTGAATATATACATCCTTTGTTGTAGTCACAGCAGATAACTTCAAGATCCTAGATGACAGTAGCAGGGGGCATCTCAACAGTTAAATCATGAACTTAAGAAAGAACAGAGAAGGGCAACCAAACTGAAACAAGGCATGGAGGAGCTCAGCTGTGAGGAAAGATTAGAGGAACTGAATT